TTAACAAAAAAACGAAGTCCAGATGACATGATTCAACCTTTTTTGTTGTTATATACCTGGATGACTGAGAAAACAAACTTTGTATAAATCCTATAGTTGGGATTGGATTGGGTTTCCTCAGCTATCCCTTAGTTATTCTGTTAGACTGTAGACTAGATTGCCGGGAGACAAACTTGCCACATTTCCTCCCTCTGCGGCCATTTTTACTCGCTCTACTCTCGTCTTCGTCTCTATCCTGTTTTGTCAAACCCCAGTCAGCCGAGGCAGATGGCTGATCTTCCTGATCCATTATCCATTCAACTTATTCACTTGTACTCTGTTATTTTTATTTGTATCTGTGCATAAAACTTTATAAATAAATTATATAATTAAGTATTTATTCATATACTATATCTACAGGCTAATCAGACAATGTGATATTATTTAGACAGCAAAATAGTAATTGCATTTTTTGTTTTTAAATGAAAGCATGTATATTATGTGATGAACTTAAAAAAATAATAATAATATTGTAATAATGTAAAATGGTAGTATATTTGCAAAAGGCTATTCCACAACCAATATCACATACTGATCCATGTCTAGACGGGACATAAAGAAGAACATTTGAAAACAGCTACACAGTTTAGGTTTTAATGTGTAAAGTATATTTAAAAATTGGTTGCTGCATAGTTGTTTTTCAGGAGCCCCAAATCTTGAGTCCATACAAATTCATCAAAAACAATGTTTCTAAAAAAAAAATTCCAATTTGAAGAGAATTTTGAGAAATATCAGCTATTTTCACCAAAAATTTGAGTGAAAACATCTAGTCATGTTGACAGGGCCTTAATCGTTAAGTTGCTACTGATAAAAACTAGTGTTCATCCTGAATGCAAGATTTAAATGGTTTCCCTTTTTTAAAAACGTGTCCTATCTTTTGAAAAGAATATAAATCCTGACAACAGGAGGCAGACCAGTCAACCACTTGCACTGCAATTCTAGGAAGTCATGCTGACGTAGTGATAATGGGCATGTGAAGCCTCATGAAGCACTGATGCTTTTCTTACAACTGTGCTGAAAAAGATTCAACGCTTCAGTGATGGAGACATTTCAGGTCCCTTGTAAATGAGTCCCCGAGGCTCAATGGGATTAACCTGTCTAAATAAGATTGAATGAATGAAAAAACATCTGTTGGACAACTGGAACCATAACAACCTCACGAGCGCAGACTCTTGTTTCAATTCCGTGTCAGCAAATAAAAGTTTAGAAAAGACTGGTCAAGTGTATGTTTTGTTCATTTGTACAAAATAATGATTACATCTGCATTACATATTTAAAAAAAAAAATAATAATTTAGGCAAAGAACAAAGTTCTTCATAAAAAAAATTTAACATGTTTCTGAAAAAAAAAAAAAATTATATATATATATATATATATATATATATATATATAAATGTGTGTGTGTCGTGTTGCTGTAAAACATCTCCCGCGTGCAGTGCAATGCAAACACCAACAAATAACTAATTCTGAGACCCATTTAAAGAAAAATACAATTCGATTATTAAAACATGAATTGTACGTCCTAGGAAACGCTTTATTTTATTTGATAAGACCAAAGTGAAATGACGGAGCGACGACGTCCGAATCTTCGAACATTATTTGTTACATAACACGGGAGTTTTGATACAAGCTCCAACACGGTGTTATGAATCACTCTGCTTCAGAAAGACACAAGCTCTGAAGCCTCGGTATCATTTGCCCATCACTACGCTGATGTAGTTTGTGAAGAATGAGGTCACATTTTACTGCTAAAAATAACCATGAAAACAAGTCACCCACGCTAATGGTTCTGATGAACTACCATACCACCAGGGATGTTTTAACTACTGCTTCCCTAACAACACCTATGAAAGTCTTCATCTTCAGAACTTTAACATCCAATTTTCATAAAAGCCTGAGGACAAGTTGACTAATTTGAGCACAGAATATGAGCTCAACGTCTGAGATGAGCTCATGCCAAGAGAGCTTGACAGCATTTCCATGCAGGTTGATTGATGAAATCCTTGATGTGTAACAGCTACTGGTTACATCTCTGGATGTGGCCTAAGCTGAAAACCCTCCAAGCTCATGTGACCACGGTGACCACTGTGGCATGACAGTTTCTCATAAGAGCTGGGCGATATAGCGATATTTTAAAAAATATCGAGATGATTTAAAACGCAATATAAAATGAGACTATACTGATATAAAACGATAGTCTTATACTTTGCATAAATTTATAAATCCAGCAGTTTTTCTCCCAGTCGGACTCTATAGGCTGCAGCCTTTCACACCACCCCTCCTCCTCCCTCACTGACAAACCCTCCTCCCCGGCTGCTTGCTTTAGCTGAAGACGTTTAGATATGCAGATAGATCTTTGCTGACTCACAGTGGGAGAACCACTTTAAATTCGTGATAAGGTGTGAAAAATGATGGTGGCTGCTGCTTCAACAACGCTGCAAGGCTCCTCTTGTGTCGGGAGAGGAAAAAACTGACTGACACACAGCTCTTGAAACTTTGTTTACACAGAGCGGTGCATTCAAGAGCATAGGAACTTTGAAATTCAGAAAGAACCAAGCCATAATCAAACAGAACCGAGCTCGGTAAACAAGCCAATGACACAACAATGTGGGCTTTCTAACAGCTTTGTTAATAAAGGTTATTAAAAGTTGAATGAATATACTTCATTAGAATGAGGCTTTTTAAAGAGCAAGTCAGCCTTTCATTGATTGCTCTGTATGTGTTATGTTTAAATTTTAAGTGATTCAACTGTGTTATTGGTTTTGTTATGCAGGAAAAACATAACCCATGCAGCAAACACGTCTGTTTGCTGCATGGGTTTCTCTTTTGATACAGCTGGGGGTGTTGTTTCAAGGACACGTTGGCTCAAACTTTTATTGTGCTCCATCTTGTGACTCTCAGCATATTCTATCGAGTGGAACAAGTTCTATTTCATCCCTCCTGACCGCCAGAGGGCGGTGCTGAAAGCACTGAATGTTCCCTTCGCGCATGCGCTGTTAGAGTAATAATACCAATGGAGTCACAGGTGTGACACGGATGACCAATCAGAGGCTATATAGCCTGGCGTCATCAGCGGCTCTGTTCCTTTTTTCTTCTCGCGCATGGTTCAATCCAGGGCTTCAGCCATTGGACCTTTTCACCGTCGTCAGAGGCCCGCCTGCCCGTTGGCCGAAGCAGCGTGTTCACCCTCCTAGGGGCAGCGACAGTTTAGCCTTCGTTCAAGGTATTTCTGCTGTTCGTTGGGGACTACAGCAGCGTTCGCCCATCTCCCAACTTACAGCGTCTGACTACTGTGTGTGTGAGATTCAACACCGGTGAGTAGTCTTTTACTTCTATTTTGCCTTGGTTAGCAGCACCGTCCGCTCTGTTGGAGGTTTCCAACCGCGAGGTCGGTTTGGATTATGCTCCGAAGTTAATTACGTAGCCAGCTGTGTTCTGGTCTTGTTTACTAATTTGTAAAGGCGAGCGTTTGCATACCCTCTATCAATCATGTTTCACCAACCTCATAAACGGTTGGACTGAGCTAGCAGTGCTAGCCTCTCTGAGTTTTGGCCTTGTTTTCTATTGGTGAAGGCTATAGTTCATTGCGCACCGTCTCCCATTCATTTTCATCAACCTTATAAACTGTTGGACCGAGCTAGTGGTCATAGCCTTACTAAGTTCTGTCCTGATTTTCTACTGGTGAAGGCTAGCGTTCGCGCACCTTCTCCCAATTATTTTTACCAACCTCATGAACGATTGGACTAAGCTAAAGGTGCTGGCCTCTCTGAGTTCTGACCTTATTTTAATTGGTGAAAGCAAGCATTTGCGCCCCCTCTCCCAATCATTTTCACCAACCTTGTAAACAGTTGGGCTGAGCGAGCAGTGCTAGCCTCTGAGTTCTGGCCTTGTTTTTTTATTGGTGAAAGCCAGCGTTCTCGCACCCTCTCCCAATCATTTTCATCAACCTCATATACGGTTGGACCAAGCTAACAATTCCAGCCTCCCTAAGTTCTGGCCTGGTTCTTATTGGTGAAGACAAGCGTTCGCACCACTTGTTCCCCCTTCTCCCAATCACTTGCATCAATCTGATA